GGATAGATGGAGAGCTGGTGGAGGTTGCGCAAGCTGGTGGAGGCGCGCGGCCGTGGGCTGTTGCGAGCTTTGGGCGGCAGCGGCGAGCTGGGCTGCCTTTCGATGGTCGCGCGGTGGTCGTGTGTGAGGGTGAGAGTGAGGAAGGTGGTGAACGCGATGTGGGTTGCGGCGGATGAAGGTTCAGCCGAAAGAAGAAATAAAAGAAAAGAGAAGCAGGGCAGCAGGGAAGAAAAGGGAAAGAAAGGAGGAAGAAAGAAAAAGAAAGAAAGAAAAGAAAGAAAAGAAAATAAAGAAAGAAAAGAAGAAAAGGAAAAAGGAAAAGAAGTAGTTTTTTTTTTTGAAATTTTAATTTTGGAAACAAAGGTTATAACTAAAGGAAAAGAAAAAAAATCTAATAATTGTTTTTCTAATTTTTATTTATTTATTTATTTTTTTAGTAATAACAAAACTTATTTTCGAAATTCAAAATTAGAGATTAACAGGAAATCGAAAACTATTCTCGAGTTTAGAATACTTACCTTTCCCGCGAACGTGACGCGGGCACGTCATGAAGGCAAGGAATCTGGAGTTTTCCAGGTTGCTTGACGCGGGCACGTCAAGAGGGTAAGAACCCTTTCTGACGAATCTGACAGTGAGCTCTTCATACGTCATGACGCGGGCGCGTCATGTCAGAGAGATACCTATGAATCATCAAAAATGAAAATTGAAGCCATAAATCAGTCAAATGCAAGAAAAAACATATTTAAACTAAAACAAAAATGAACAAATAACTAAGAGAAATTGGGTTGCCTCCCAATGAGCGCCTTTCTTTAACGTCTTTGGCTAGACATTATCATGTTTTGTTCTTGGAGGATAAAATCTTGTGGCTCGTCTTAATGTTTCATCCTCTATATAGTCCTGATAGCCCTCGTAAATAGAGTAATTCTTGGCCACACGAGCTACGGGCTTCCATGGACTAGTAAATGGCATCAAACAAGTCGACGATAATTTATATTCTCCACTCACTCCCCCCTCACTTGCATTTATTGGTTCAAGATATCTTGCCATCGCCACTCTTATTTTATTCCTGTCATGAAATTCAAAATTTTATGGTATAATAAAATCAATTTCATTAACAGGAATTGAAGAATAAGAGTCAGGAGAATATTGATAAAGGAGTGGAGGAGATGTCACCGCATATAGAGATTGTTCACTGGATTCATTCACTTGAATGAGTTGATCCTGGAGTCTTATTTCTTGCACTTCAGCTTCTTTTTCAACTGCATCTTTAAATCCATTTTCTTGAAACTCTTGCAGTTCCATGTCATTTGGCGGGATAACTGCACTCTCATCCTCTTCAAGGTTGATATTGGTTTGTGAGGGCAATTCTTCAAGGTGAGAAGCTAATCGCGTTATCCTGGATGTCAATAGGTGCACTTGATCCGCCATCCCGAATGTCAATAGTTGTACTTGATCCGCCATGCTACGAATACTCGCTTGTGTCTCCTGATGAAATCAATATGTATTAGTAGCGAATAATTCAATCATTTCCTGAAGAGACATACCTGACATGGATGATGGTTGTTGAGACTCTTGCTGTTGAAAACCCATTGGCCTGGTCGCATAATTAAAATTGAAATCATCCCACCATCCTTGATCATACCTGTTTGAATAAGGGTCGTACCACATTTGAAATCGAGGTGGAAAATCTCCAAAAGTATCAATTGAAGCACTTAGATTATCTTGAAATGCGGGGCATGTGTCGGTTGAATAACCTGAGTCAAATAAGTTCCACAATTTGCAACAGCCCATTGATCATTAGGAAAACACAAGTCTCATAACCCCATTCAGGAATAAAGTCCAGTCTGTCATCAAAATACAGAATGTTAGCAGCTATAAACTATATAAAAAATAAGAGAAAAATAAATAGAAAATAAAAATAAGATGAACTCAAAAAGAAACAAATTAATCAGGCACCAGTCCCCGGCAACGGCGCCAAAAATTGACAGGTTGTCGAAACCTATGCAATAATAAAACCTACTTAAACTAAAAGTAATTTCTGTAGATAGCGGTGAGCAGGATCGAATCCACAGGGACTGAGAGTAATTGTTTCTTTTCAAATTCACAGTGACAAGGGGTGTTTTTGCGCAGAGAGTGACAATCAAATAAATGCAAATAAAATCCAAGAAACTACTAAAAATTAAATAACAATTTACTAAAATCAAATGAATGATAACTAAGGATCTAGCCAAGGAATAACTTCAGCAATGGTTCACCTAATTGATCATCGAAACAAAGGCAATTCCAATTATTTACTAATAAATAGGTTATAACTGCCAAACAAGCGATGACAGTCAACCCCTCCTTACTGTGTCGGTGATTAAGGTACGCCCGTTAATCACTACTCTAATTGAGAAATAATCTTAGGTACGCCCGTAAGTTTAATTCTCCAATTGCCTTACGTATTAGAGGAGCCCTATTCTAACCAAATAACACACTACCAGGGTTATTTTAGGTTAGCCCGCGTATTCCCCTGACACAAACCCAATCATGCTAGTTATCACTATTTTGAGACAATTAAACAATTACGGATTTAACGTCCCAATTGACAATAGATTATCAAATTAACTAATTATCCGGATCCAAGAGAATTAATTAATTAAACAATCATAAGCACTGTAACCAGGGAATATGCGAATACTAATAAATAAAAGAAAAATGTAAAATTAAATCGATCTCACAATTTTAAGCGAGCCAAAGCATCCGTTGCACTTTGACTAGAAAAAGAGATTTAACTCATCCCTTGTCTACTCCTACGGAAGAGCAACTAAAGACGAAAAGAAAAGTCAAATGCTAAGCTCCCTTCCTCTGACATGCGTAGGAAAGAAAATATAAAAAGAGATCTAAGGGAAAAGTTAAAGGAAACAACTCCTAAGTGCTCCTGACATCCAAGGAGACACGCTACTATCCCCAAAGCCAGCAAAGGAAAAATCAAAGCTAAGCTACTGGACGAAAGAAAAACAAAAGTAGTCCTGATCCTCTGCAATTCCAATTCATATCTAATTGCTAATCTATTCTCCTGCGTCCATCCCATGTGCGGTAGCCCCCCAGGGATAGAAGAAACCCTTCAGCCGTCCTTCCTTCACAGAGTTTACCAAAATGGGCGTAACATCTTCTTTTCCAAAAATGCCCCTGGGCCAAGCTCTGTTATTTGGACTCTTTTCTTGTTAAATTGGCACTTGTTATCATATTTTCGTTCTACTCCCTGAAATAAATGTAAAATACTAAAAGTGAGTTGAATCCAACAATTAATCCACATCGGATCAGGTAATAAGGGGAATTAATAATAAAATAACTGATAAAATTACAACCTATCACCAGTCCACAGTTGATCCAGGTTGAATTTGCAGATTACAGAACCAGAATTTCATTGTCAGTACTGGATTCAAATGGCAATAACTCATTCTACAAAAGTCCGATTGAGGCGTTTCCTGATGCATTAGAAATCTGAAAATAGAACTACAATTTTTTGTGCTTTGACCAGAAGCTAATTTGATACGGATCAAAGTGAAAAATGAAGCCAAAATGTGAAATATCAAAACTGCCCGCGAAATAGGGCATTTGGTAGTTAGGGGTATTTTAGTCATTTCATATGCTACAGTACTCCGATTGAGCTGAAATTTTATTGGCAGTTATATAACTCCATTCCCTACAACTTTCATGTTTTGATCTAAGTCTGATTCAGCCTTTAACATGGACGAATTAAATAGGTCAGAAACAAGGCAGATTCATCCTTAAGGTTGGAAATTATTTTTTTTTTATTATTTTTTTTTTAATAAAAGGGGAGAACCCCCCAAATTTTATTCAACAGCAACAAAATCATACGACGAAGGAAACAAACCCTCCCTTCAACACATGCCAGAAAAATAAGAAAATACCTAACAACTAACGTTTCGAATATATGGATAGCCCATTGCATCCAAGTTAATCAACGACCGAGCCCTACTTGGAAGCAGATGATGAGATTGGAAAGTAACAAATGGACTCTCCAAAGATAAAGCCGCTAGGCTGTCTGCCACAGCATTCGCCTCACGATAGATATGCGTAATGGCCCCCTGCACCTTACCTAACAACAACCGAATCTGGCTTAAAATGCTACACAACGGCCACTTACCAATCGATTGACTAGTAACCAGCCGGGCCAACACTAGAGAATATACTTCTACTAAAATATCTGACAACCCTGTCCCAACACACCACTGTAGACCAGTTAACAACGCTAACCCTTCCGCATGTACCACCTCACATTCCCCAAACTCCTTATAAAAAGCACCAAGCATCTTCCCTTCAAAATCCCGTACCACTCCTCCGCCTTTCGCCAACCCATTTGACACACTTGCGTCGGTGTTCAGCTTGACTGCCCCTCGAGGAGGCTTCCTCCAAGATATAGCTTGCGGACAGAAAGATTTATGTGGTTTGAGCTGAAAATACCGTGCAAAGTAGGTATCCGTATCCCCCTCCAACTGAGACCTTTTCAACATACGCGCAGCCCCCAGAGCAACCAACCACCCATTGATGTCTGAAATAACTTTAAAGCAAGCCGAGGGAACATTACCAAACCGAGCGTCATTTCTACTACGCCACAGAAATCATAACACTACAACAGGTATAACACACCGAACATGATCCAAACGCCCACTCCCAGAAGATTGAAACCACACCACTAGCAACGAAGAAACGCATGAGAATGAAGTCCACGGGATACCGCAAGCGCGGAAGAAATGCTTCCAGACAGCACTTGCCAAGTTGCCCTGCACAAAAATATGATGCAAAGACTCCTGTGAATCACCACAACAATCACACTTGGAAGCCAATGAAAACCCTCTAGAACGGAGCTTGTCATCCAACGGCAGAAAACCAGCCAAAATCCTCCAAACAAGGTAAGACATCTTTAACGGCAGCAAAGGACACCAAATTCCGCGCCACACCAAAGACAGGTTACGCCGCTGTCTAATTAAATCCTATGCAGACGACACAGTGAACCTACCATCCGTTGAAGGAGCCCAAACCAATTCATCCTTAAGAGCTGGATCAACACTTGTCTGCAAAATACTATTAACGACCGATCGAGGAAGAACTTGGAGCAAACGTTCAATATTCCACCCTGTAGAGCTATAGAACTCAGCTACCAAACAATGAGGAGGCTCCCCATCACACTGGCTACTAAGCGGTTCGTCAAAAAGCCAACGATCGTACCAGAAATCGACAAACCCCTCACCAACACGCCAACGAAAATTGGCTTCAGCAACAGTCCGAACTGAGCAGACCCGCTTCCATATTGCCGACCCAACACCAACCTCTGCCGAGGACGGATGTTGGTCACCAATGTACTTTCGATGCATGAACCTTGCCCACGTAGAATTCTTTTGACGTATTCTCCACCATAATTTCATTGCAAACACCTTCTCTACATCCAGCAGTGATCTGAAACCCAAACCCCCTTCTGCGACCCAGGAAGACCAATGAATCCGTCTCCCATCCTTGCCATCCCACAAAAATGCATTAAACAGCCTACCTAGCCTTAGAAAAACCCCCTTCGGTTGTTTAGAAACCTGCAATAAATAAATAGGCATTGAGTTCAACACATGCCGAAGCAATATGATCTTCCCCCCAGCAGACAAGAAGCGGGAACTCCAATGAAGAAGCTTTGCTCTAACAGAAGCAAAAACTCCATCAAATAAAATACTCCTACTACGGCCACGAAACAGTGGCACTCCCAAATATCTCACAGGCCAAGATTGCCCTTGAAACCCCGTAGCTTGTTGAATTAAAGTGATGGTATCCGAAGGAATCTTCGACGAACACAGAAACCTACTCTTGGCAAGATTTATTTTTTGGCCAGAAAGAATTTCATACTCTCGCAACAAGGACGACACAGCTTGCAGACAGTCAACCGATGCCCGTATGAAGATAACCATGTCATCAGCAAACGCAAGAAACGGGACCAGCCCCCCCTTACTCAAAAATCTAAACCTCGGAGTGTTAGCAACCAGCTGCTGAAGTCTCCGTCCAAGGAATTCCGATACAAAAAGGAAAAGAGTAGAAGATAGAGGATCCCCCTGACGTACCCCTCTAGTCGATTTGAAAAAACTCGTGAGCTCCCCATTAACCAATACAGAAAACCACACGTTGGATATTAACCGAAAAACCAGATCTACCACACCTTCCTTAAAGCCAAATTCACGAAGCATGTACAAAAGAAACCCCCATTCCACCCTGTCATAGGCCTTCTCCATATCCAATTTCAAAATTACATTAGGATGACGCAATTTCTTGTCCAAATCCAGAATTAATTCCTGAGCGAGGAGGACATTATCCTGTATCCCCCTGCCCGGTATAAATCCAGTCTGAAACTCCAAAATCAACTTAGGAAGGAGTGTATTAATGCGGGTAGACAAAATTTTTGAGATGATCTTCGAACTAACGTTAGATAAGCTTATTGGTCGAAAATCTTTCCACTCACATGCACCCTCCTTCTTAGGCAGTAATGTGATCGTGGTACTTGAAAATCCGCGGGGCATCGAGGCACCAGCGAAGAAATCTTGCACCGCATCCATGAAGTCGTCCTTGATACACTCCCAGCAACTTTGATAAAAACCCCCTCCAAACCCATCGGGTCCCGCAGCACTCTGAGAGTCCAACGAGCATATAACCGTGTGAACTTCTTCTACCGATGGAGACTTCAGCAACATATCGTTCTCTTCTGGCGTAAGTTTAGGCAGCTCAAGTGACGGCCTGATGCCAGAACCTGCAGCGCGGTCTGCTGTGAACAACGTGGAGAAAAAATCACTTGCTGACAGCTTAATATCCTCTATACTATCAAACCAACTGTCGCCACTTCCCCTGATGCGTGCAATAAAATTACAACTGCGTTTTTGCTTAACTGCTGCGTGGAAAAAAGAGGTATTAGCGTCACCCTCTTTGATCCATTTAATCGCAGCCTTTTGTCTCCAAAATTCACATTCCAATGCTAGCTCCCGAGAATGAAGTGCCCTAGCCTCGTGAACTGCCGTCCTAGACACCGTATCCCGATTCTGATCATACAAAATTTCCTTGGCCAATAAATTGTCTGCTGCCTGTTTGACCCTTTGAGAGACATTCCCGAAAACCTCCACATTCCATCGAGATAAAGCTCTTTTAACCACCTATAACTTATTAAAGAATTTCTGCATTCCCACTCCAGAAACAGACTGAGACCACGCCAACTTGACTGTTTGTTGAAAACTGGAGTGACCGCACCAGACATTGAGGAACCAGAATGATGATCGCCTTGTCGATGTACTACCCCCCTTGACTAGCAACGGACAATGATCAGACCGCCCCCGTTGAAGATGAGCTACTCTAGTCATCTCAACATCTGCGAGCCAGGCGGCATTAACAACCGCTCGATCCAGCCGCTGCCACATGCGACCATTGGTCCATGTGTAAGCAGACCCATCGAATTGAACTGGAAATAAGCCACTGCGATGTAAAGCTGAGTTGAATTCTTCCAAATCTCGCATATTCGGAGAAGATCCTCCAATCCTTTCCTCCACGCAAGTAATAACGTTGTAGTCTCCTACAGCAATCCACGGTAGAGTAACGGACATGGAAAAATGCTCCAAAGCCTCCCATAGCCTTCTCCTACCAATTCTGTTACACTTCGCGTAGACAGCTGAAATAATAAAAGAAGAGCCAGAAGGGAAAGACAAATAGACATGGACCAATTGATCCGCAGCTTCTACAAAAGAATATCGAACATCCGAACACCAGAATATCCAAATTTTGTTATTCACGAAAGACCTAGCAAAGTCAAACCCCAAAAACAACTGCACACTCCCCAGATGAGAGACATTGGCTAAAGGTTCCAAAAGAATCAGTAACCTAATATTATTTGATCTACAAGTACAATGAATATACCGCAATGACTCCTTGTTCGTTGCACCCCGAATGTTCCACACTATAAACTTAATCGGATTTAACATTATTAGACCGAAGATTATAATGCGCAGATGAATTCATACCTTCTCGTTTCCTGGACTGCCTAGGACGACCCTTGTGTCCTTGAATCAACTTTTGCAGTAATTGAGAATCCGTATCATCCAGACCCCCTCCAACCGGATCATAACAAAGCTTAGATGCTTTGATTCTGCTGGGTAAGCGATCCTGAAAACTTTTCAACTCCACCAAAGAAATCCCTCGCCCCCCTGACCGCCCTTCAGAACTAGACCGCACCAGACGAACACGATCGTGATTCCGCATAGGAGAGAGCGAAGAGGAATGCCGTTCATGGTTCGGCCCTTCAGACACAGTTGCAATTAGCAGCCCACGATTATCCCCGTCAGAAATGAGGATATCATCTGATAACTCCTGAAACGGGGAGGAAGAAACTTGGCGACCTAAGGCAAGCAAATTCTGCGTATCTTCATCAGCCCCCAGAGACGTATTTGAAAGAACAGGAACATGAACAAGTACAAAAGCTTGAGGAAAATTTCCCTGACTAGGATTAGCAGACTGAGATGGCAAGTCAGCAGTAGCCTCCAGTGCCACCGGTGCATCTGGCGCTTGTATCCCCGGAACTTCCACTACCCCAGAACCCGCAACAGGCAGAGAGTCATCAACAGCAGTTACCCCCTTTGGTTGAAAAACTTGTCTGACGTGCGTTTTAGATGATGGACCAGAACGAACCGGCCTCAATTCCGGATGTTTGCGATGACAGATGGCTTCTGTATGGCCAATCAACGAGCAAAACCCACAATAAGAAGGATAATCTTCATATTCAATTTTTTGCCAAAAACCCCACTGATCATCTCCGATCCAAATCCTAGATTTGGGAGGTTGCAATACATCAACCTCCAACAAAATACGGGCAACAGAAGGGCGTTTCAATGAAGCCGTAGCTTCATCCACTTTCAAAGGTCGGCCAAGTAGGGTACCGAGTTTAAGCAGAAATTGCTTTTCAAAAAACGGCAGTGGAAGACCCGGAAAATTGACCCAAACTGGTGCAATGGATGACTCGGCTCCTGGTTTAAAATCAATTGTCCATTTCGACAGAGACATATGAAACTTGCCAACATACCAAAACCGACGACACCAAAGCCTGGTGTAATCTTCCTCCTCTGATGGACGTAAAAGAATGTGCTTGGAATCTAACAAACCTATTGGGCACTCGCCCCTCAACCCCAACGAAACAATAAACTTGCGAATAAGTTCCATGGAAGGGCGGCCTACGGCAAATCTGCCGACCAACGCATTTGAGTAGGGCGCTGCTATCTGCAACATATCTTGACGAGAAATCACCAACGAAGGCTCCCCCTTGTATGTACTAAGAAGGCCAACACCACTTGATGCGGATGACGGAGATTGCGAAAGAACAGATGCAAACGTCTTCGCTGGTCGAACGAAAGGCGGCGCCTCCCCATGCAGGAGAGCCGCCATGTGAACCTAACCCGAACCCTACGTGTGTCTTAGAACCCAGAGAGAAAATTGTCCCAAAAAAAAGGATACTATCTTCCTCAAGGTGGGTTGGAAATTTGATGATTCAATACTTGAAAATCACATTTATGTCTCACATCAATACCCCAAGTCTTTATCCAAGCTTACCAACATCATATGCTAGATAAAAAACAAGAATCATAGCTGAAAATATCAAACCCTAACTAAATATTCCACTATATCATGCAAAACTCACTAATTAACCGTCATAAGCCAAGAATATGAGTTTCTATCCAAATTTAAACAAGATTAAGGAAGAGGAAAAGGATAGGCAGCCATAATACCTTCCAAAGGTCCCTTGTAAGTGAGAAACACACCACTTTCTTCCCAAATTTTCAGCACCCCAAGGCTTCCAAGCACCAAAAAGGGAGGTTAATCGGTTTAGTTCGATTGCTTGCACTCAAATAAGGATGGATTCAAGGTGAAGGTTGCTAGTTTCTCTCTTGTGTTTTTCTCTCTTGAAGCTCAGCTGGAATGTACAGAAATGAAGAGGAAAAGAAGTGAATTTGGTGATAAAAATGAAGAAAATTGGTTGGTCAAACAACCCTTGGATGGTTGCAACTTGTCACTCCAAGATTAAGTCTTCAATTTTTCTTCTTTTTCCTTTCTTTTTGGTCAATAATTTCGGCCCTCTCTAGGATAAATAAGGGCTGATATTTCTGTAATAATAACAAGGATATTAAGGTAATAAAGTGGTGTTCAAGTGGTGTACTCGATCGGTAACAAACGGTACACGTCGTTTCAACTCGTTTTTCCTTATTTCGCACGTACTAGGGTTTTAACTTATAATTCACTCACTTATTATTATCATTTCTAATCACACACTTTTTCTTATATAAAACTCACTCTTAACCACCAAATCTAGTACACACGCCTCACCAAATGATCACACGGCCAAAATACGTAAAAAACCCCAATTTATCCGAACTATAAAACTAAGGGTAAAACTCTTAAATCTCTTATTCATTATAACTATTGAGGGAGTGAATGCGTAGTAAAACTATCCTAATGTAATGGATTCTAACTAAAAGGAAATTTGTAAGAAAAACATGAGAGATTTTACAACTCCATAGATCACCAATTTAATGTAATCCAATGATCCATCAAGCTTAATTACCCCTCACGAGCCTACTAACCACCCACCTATTATAATTACTTATCATAAAGCATGCATTGTCATACATAAACTCAATTAAACAGCAACGTTTTTGTCACAAGGGGGTATTTAACATACGCACTCATCACTCTAAAGTGTATGGGGTAAAATACAACTCTCAATCGACATCATAAAGTGACATTACCATAAACTTACACATATATTATAGTTTCACCACTAATAGTGGATTCAACACAAGAATTCAAGGGACTTTTATAAGTTTGTAATGGGATTTTGAATAAGGGGTAGAATAAAAAGGTAAATTTAAGGTCTAAACATATTAAAGAAGATGCCAAAAAGTCACTGCATGAGTCCAGCAGTCAAATTTGTGCAAATTTACTTTCCAAGGTATATCAACAATTTCCATCAACTTAACAATTGCAGGCATATTGTTGGACTTTTATCAATGATCACAACATGTTAATTATGTCCAAAAACACTTCATATCATACACTTCTTTTTTTTTTGTTCTTTTTTCTCTTTTTTTTGTTCTCTTTTTTTTGTTCTTTTTTTTTCTCATTCTTATGAATACAAACATAAACACCTTCAAGGTAAACTTCATTTGACAACACTTGCTAACTTCAATTTGGTGTCTTGCATCAACACATTAAATCTCTATACAGTGAAATTAAGATAACTCTTTGACACAAGGTTTGACAAGAAAGTTCAAACAAGAGTTTTTGGATAACTATTGCAGCTTTTAAATAAAGACATGGTTAAAAGCTCAAATTGACTGCACTAATGGTAAACAAAGTAAAGATGAATTTTAAGAAAGTCAAAATAAGGTTAATCCTAGGTGCCCTTATCATTTTCAGGCGTCAAATTCAACAAAAATATGGTCTTGACATGCATAATAGAGCAAGTTCTAAAATGACAAAATCATATGCAATAACCACTCAACAAATGGAAATAGAGCAAAATATAGATGAAAATGCTCATTAATAGGTTCAAAAAGCTTACAAAGTGGTTAAAATTTACCAAATCCAGCATATTCATCATTTAAATCCATTGTGAAGAAAAATAAGATACTCAACTAAAATTAAATCCATGAAAGTAGCCACCAAATTCTTTAGTTATTTTAGATGCAGACACGCCTAAGACACAAGGAGTCTTCGGGTAAAAAATTTTTAACTTGCCAATTTTAGTGCGCCCTAGAGGTGCGGGCACGCCTTGTCGATCACTAGTCTTTTGAAATTTTTGAGCATGTCATGAAAACTTATCTGTCAATTAGTTGTCTGGTAGTAGTCTTCTATTCACTAAAACAACAAAATCAAAATCAAATGCACAAAACACAAGAAACCTAAAATAAAAATAATAAAAAGTGAATTAAAAATGAATTGGTTTGCCTCCCAATAAGCGCCTTTTCTTTAATGCTTTGACTAGATATAAAGCTTCATTTCTCAATTTGGATGTAATTCAAACTTTCTTACAATTAGTTGAATTTCTTCAAAATTCAAATCACCATTGAGTGTGTGACAACCCCGCCTCCCCAAGGGCATATTCTAAAATTTAGCGGACCGCCTGCCTAACTCTCATCAGAACTCATTCTTATAATTTAAAAGACGAATTATAACTTCAAAAGTAAGAGTAGCAGCAGTTTCCAAACTTAAAATATATATGTACACTCGGTCATCTCAAACCTCCATACATATTCAAAATACAGCAAAAGATTCAATCTCTAGTTGAAATCCAAACCCTAGATGTGCACCATTACTATTACAATTACAAAGCCAAAAGATCTGGATAAAATCCATCCGATCACAGTTACTCGCCCATGCTCGCACCCCCTATAAGGAAAACAAAACTAATGAGATGAGCCATAGCTCGGTGAAGTTCCAAAACAATTCATGCAAACAAAGAATCAATCTCAAAGCAAGGAAGAAGGCGGTCACTAAGCAAATCAATAACAGGTAATCAAGAACAAGTGGCACATTCAAGTAAAAGGATACATTTTTCCTCACATTGGCCACTTAACTTGTAATCATTGACACTCCGTCAACTGCAGAATACACTATCAAGTCTAGTAGATCACCATTTCACGCCATCTCCGACTACCGATCATCCCTCTTACCCGGGCATGCACGCCAATCAAGTATAAGTAGGATAATACTCAAGTATACAAAGGCCAACACAAGATACAAGACCCATGGTTCATTGGTTATCTCGACCAAACTCTTGCTGGCACGATTTGACCAATTAAACAATAGGGATAGGATACCAAAACGAGTAAAGTTCGCGAGATAACAACTCCAACCGGTTTTCAAGTCATGCACAGATATATCGATTCACAAGCAAACAAGTCAACAAGAATTCAAGCAAGTTAGGTCGAGTGTGATAAAGTACATACTCGCCTTTGCAATATCAAGTCAGTCTCAACAACGAATCACATGAAACATCACATAATTCAAATCATGCAATTTGAACACTCACCAATGAGTTACTGCTTATCAACGTCAAGCTCAAACCCTACTCCCTGGTTACTCTCAAAATCTGCGAGTGAATATCATATGGCAAGTTGCAATCAAACTGTGACGCCCCCACTTCTCCCTAAGGCAAACCAAAGGGTATCGGCGGGATGCCTGATACAATTTCAATTCAAACTTAAGGATAAGTAACCAATAATAAAAGTCGAAGTACATCACAGTTGCTTCCTTAGGTAAACATTCAAATCTTACATTATAAGTTCTCAAAAAATACATCAAATCCCAAAATACAACCATTATAAGTCGACTAAACAATTACAACCAAGGTATTAATCAAAAGAGTAATCTAGTCGGCTTTTCTCCAAAAATCTTTCCATCCGGTCCTGTTAAGGAAAACAAAGTTAACGGGATGAGCTAACGCTCAGTGAGACCAAGAAAATCATGCAAGGACATAATTCAAGTAGCCATAAAACTTGTACGAGAAATAAAACTATAACATTCAAGTAATCCACAAAACACACTTGAAAAGGATACATGAGCTCTTAAGAGTTAGGTTCCACTTGCTTTGCCAAGTCTCGATCATATATCTCCACGTGATTGTAAGGATCGAAAACAACCTAAGAGGGGGAGTGAATTAGGTGGTTTAAAAATTAGCCAAGATATGAATCACTTTTTGAGAACTTGCCCTCTTTTTCTAAAGGACCACACAATAGAGCAATTGATGAATAAGCACAAGTGCTTGGGAGTAGAAGAGATAGACAATTTATATTGCAAGACAGTAAGTAAAAGGATAGAATAACAAACGAAGTTCCAAACTCCACTTGAGTTTGAATACCACTTTATATAGCAAGCTTTTTCAAGTTGATCAACTTATAACCAAACTCTTGTGTACAATAGAAGGATCACTTCCTCCTCGCCCCAAGCCGTACTTGGTCAAGCAAAGAAGTTTTACTATCGCTCAGATAACCCTCACAAAGCTACACTATTGAAGAAATAGAAACACACTTGAAAAGTTTATTGAAATTTCCACAACTAAGAGTACAAATCTTCTTTAAAGAGTATTTTCACACTTGAATTACTCAAGATCTGATGTAGTCTTAATGTGCGAAAGTTCTTTTGAAGTGGTTGGCTTTGCTCTATTTATAGGAGACCAAAAAGTACTTCAATTAATGCTGCCAACGGATAGAAGGTAGCTGAAGAGTCAACTAGCCGTTGGTGATGTCGAACATTCGATAGGCTGGTATTCCGCGTCCGATTGCAGGCTGTGAGTTTCAAGAAGTTTTCTTCAAATGTTTAGGACGTCCGGTGCATCAATGCTTTGCGTCCGAAGTGTCGCAACGTTTGTCAGACGTTCGGTACTCAGA